AATGTAAATCAGTATTATTTTGTTCACTTGTAATAGTCTTTACATGTAATTTTGTTCGTAAAAACGTGTTATTATGTTTGCAAAGACTTGTCCCAATGTTATGAGCACTTAGAATGTAAACTCATGTATAATAAAGCGAACATAAATTTTAAAAGCAAAATATATTTTATTAATGAAAAGAGTATAGCAGGTAAGACGGTACGACTGTTAGCCCTACTCTAACTCCTAGAGGACCGACCTCATCATCCTAAGGCTGGTCGGCTGAAGGCTTCTCCGAGGCATGTCCCGAACCCTCTGTCTGATCAGATTTTTGAGCGGCCGCTGCTTTATCATCCTACCGCACCATGGACATGAGAGTTTCATGCCAGTCCTCTAGGAGGTCAGACATATCAAGGCACGGATTCTTCGGCTGCAAGGCATTGACAGATTCGATCGCCCATTCGGCAGCCTTCTCCTCGACCTCTGCTGCCTGATTCTGTATCTCTTCGATCAGGGAACCAACTTTTTCCTGACTTGCTTGGAGTTTGGCCTCGAGAGCTTGCCTTTACTTCTCGGAGGCATCCCTCTCTTGTTCTGCTCGTGAGGCCCGCAGAGAGGTCGTTTTCAGCTCCTAGTCCCTATCTCTGACCTCCTTGGAGAGTCTGGCTATAGTCCTTTGGAGCTCTTTTACTTCCTCCGCATGCTTCTCGAGCTCAACTTTTTGGAAGTCCACTGTGCGAAGAGCCGCGTCCCTTTCGCTTAGATACTGATTTGTTGATTCAGAAGATAGGTTTTTTTCTACCTCGGCGGCTTCCAGGCCTTGCTTAAGCATTGCGTTCTCCTCCTTCAGTGCGACCTCCCCCTTTGCAACTCCCAACCGAACCTTCTCTAAGGACAGTTGCATGGAAAGTAAGGCTTGCGAACATGAAAAGATATCAAGTTAGCTTATCAAAAGGAACTAAGGGAAGTCCTCGTCGAGGACAGTTCGTTTACCTTGCTTAAGTGCTAGAGCGATGTGGACATTAGGTCCACGTTGCTGGAACCTACAAACTGCTCGAATGCTTCCGAGAGTCTGCACTCCAGCAAAGCGTAGACTATCGGCTGCAGGTACTTCGGCAGGTTCCCCAGCGAGTCTAGCATGGAGTTTCCTTCTTCGCGCCTTCCGCAAGGGTCGTGTCGCCCTCCGATTCCTTACTCGACGTCTTCCCGATGTCTGGCTGCGACCTCCCAGGTTGATTGCCCTCGGATTCGGGCTCTGACTCTTCGACCTGAATTTGCCTTTTCTTCTTCTTCGCTCGCTGAGCCGTTGTCTTTAGCTTTGGGCGAACAGCTGATTGCTGGGAAGTTTTCGTAGGTCGGATTGGTGCATCTTCCGAAGGCTGATGCTGAGAAGTTCCAGTAGGTTGCACCAAGGGGCCCGATATGGCACCTTCCGTCGAGGGATCAGTAGGAGCAGCATCGGTTGCCTTGGCAGTCCTTGTTCGCGGAAAGTTGAATTACCTTTGTAGCAGCGGCTCTGACTTCTTCGAAGGCATGGTCACTGTATGCAAGCATCGTTAGCAAAAGTATTTCATTTCACGACCAGAAAAGAACCAGTTAGCAAGACTTACTCAATAGGGGCTCTAAAGACGCGTTTGCATTGAAGAAACTATATTTTCGTAGATTCGCGATCATCACGAGCTTCTTCGCATCGCGACTGGCTTTAGGCAGGAAGCCAAAAGATACGATCCTATCCGGGTCGAAGAGCAGCCTTAAGTCGGTCGTCTTGTTAACTGCCAGAAAAGAAACAGGTCGTTAGAAAGAAAACGCATTCCAAATTTAATGAGTTCGCCAAGGGAAAAGAGCTTAGGCGGGTCCTGAAAGTGGCAATGGCCGTCGTAATGAAAGAAGAAAAACTTCGTTTCGTAGGCCCCCGCGTTGCTAGGGTAGTTGTGTATCCCCTCGGCTATGGTAGGTCGCTTGGACAAGTAATAAGAATCCTTGTCCTTGCTCTTTTTCAAGAAATACGAGCAGCCGAGCTCCGTCGCGGTTAGCTTGCCCAGCCCGTTCTCACGACACGCGATGTACATGGTAACAACAATAACATAAGCGTTCGGAGTGAGCTGCATTAGCGCTATCCCGAAGTGATCCAAGATCGACCTGAAAAAAGGGTCGAAGGGGATCAACCCCCCACCCTTGATGATCTCCTCGGAGATTGCAGCCATCCCACTTGATGGGTATCGCAATGAGTGGGCCACATCGTAGAAAACTTCCACCTCGATACCATACTATTTTATTACCCTCTCGAGCTTTTCCCCGGTAAGTATCAAGTAGACCTCAGGAGTGAAACTCGGAGCACCCTACAATGATGAACCGGTTCCTTCCTTGGATCTGGTCGTTAAGAGGTCTATTCTACTGGTTTGCAAAAGCGACAAGCAGGGGGGTCATTTAGCCATTATACGCTACTCCGTACAATGACGTGGAAGGAAACAAACTCCCTAAAACCTAGAGAAAACCCTAACAGAATGATTCGAGCCGCCATTCATGGCTCGAACCCGACATGAGCGTCTTGTCTCCGATTAGCTACTGGAAGACTAACGCCATTTACCAACCACGGGAATAAGAAAATAAAAGCAGAGACAGATTCTTACCTCTCGGAACACGAAAATGGCTCATTCTGCCTCAAATATTAGAAACACGCTGGTTTGGAAGGCAAGGGTTCCAAGCTTGCGAAAGTCTCCTGTTCTCTCTGAAAGAGACAAGTTTGGTGACATTGCCTGAGATGAGTCTTGAGTTTTTATAACGCATGAAACGACACTTGTTTTTCTCGGAATCAAAATGACGTCTGGGCGGCAAAAATTTCTCACCGTTGATCACAACCACGTGTCGCAGATCAGTGAGAAAGAGTGAGCGTCACGATTAGAGAAAACCAAACCGTTATCCTTTTCTGTTGAAAAACTCAAGCGACGGCACTCTCTCCCTCAGCATTAATTGCACCCCAACCTGCATTCAATGCTCTGATAAGGGGTGTCGATTCAGCATGCCATGCATTTAATGTTTTGATAAAGGATATCGTGTCAGCATATCACGCATTTAATGCGCCTGGCTGGCACTTATTACACACATGACACGTCTGTTAGAGCATGAGCTGTTTCATTAAATGCATCCATATTGAAAATGCAACAGGCAACGCTTGACGAAGTTAGGTCGCTCATCCTTAACAAGCAATAACCATGCGAGGTCGCGTTCATAAAGGGCACTACCCCAACCAATTTTCAGGCAGGTCGTAGTCACCAGAATTTCCCAAAAGAATATAGTCGCGGCATGAATTATAGTTTCCAAGGTCAATCCTCAAACCATAAAAACTAGGAGACTTTTGTTATGCCTAAAGAATGCAGGGCTGAAGTAAGGTCTAGTCAGCGTGCAAAAAGTCAGAGCATGGGTGCACCCGCAATCGAGTCACGTGGGAAAAGGAGCAGCATGCTTTTGTTAGAATAGTGCGTGCGTGCCAGACTAACTAGAAGTTATGGTGCTCTCATGTGTCCAATCCCTGCTCCAAATCTCGTAAATCACTCTAAAAGGTGGGCAATGTGACATAAAGAGGGATTTGCACGAATAATCCCACCAACTCACAGATTCAATAATGATAACCTTAATCCATCCCACTATAAATTGAGAGCTTCTCTCTCATTGAGGGGATTCGCTATTCTCTCCCAAGAATATATAGCATTCTCTCTCTTGTAATATCATTTGTAAGTCAGTCCGCTAACGCAACCTGACCTCTATCATTAATACAAACATCAGTGGACGTAGGATTTGCTTCCTTAGCATCCGAACCACTGTAAAAGTTGTTCCCATTGCATTTATTCTCATTTTTCTTGCATTCACGTGTGTCTTCTAAGCCAACTCAGCATTGCACACGTGCGTTTAGTTGGTGTAAAAATCATGCATCAACATTATCATTATTATTATTAAATATTAATCATAGGAGAGCCACCCAAATCTAATTTCTAATATTTTGACCGAAATGAAAATGGGGGTGAATAACCACCAATGAGTGGCCGAGTGGTCAACTTAGACTCGTGGGTGTATTATTCTAGAAGTCTTGAATTTGATTAGCCTCGGCCACTAATTGGGGTAGCTATTAGACCTGACCGGTTGTTCTAGGGTCTTGAAGAATTAGTTAAGGTGTGTGCAAGCTGACTCTGACACCCTTGGTCATTAAAAAAAAAAAAAAAAAAGGGCAAATTATGTTAGTTCTAGGTAGGGGTGGGTAGGTCTAGGTACCCACCCTTTTTTAAGGACGGTTTCGGTTCCTAGAAACTTGGAACTAGAACCTGAAACATAGGTTCTAGTTCCATGTACTCGGATCTTGGTTCCGATTTTGGTTCCGGGTACTCGGGTTAATTTTAATTACCTTCATACTTTTTAAAAATTACAAATATACCCAATAGTTTATAAAAATTATAATTTAGTCACGGTTCCTACCTGAGTACTAGGACCTTGGTTCCAGTTCCGGTTATGGTTCTCAGTTCCTGCATGGGTGGAACCAGAATCGGAACAGCATAGTGCCGATTCCAATTTTTTAGAACTGAAACTGACCCTGTGAGAGCCGGTTCTAGGTAGGAACCGAAACTAAAACCCTAGATCCCCGCCGATTTCGATTTTATCCTAATTTTTTGTTTACCCCTAATTCCATATTGTCGGAGGATTAGTTGAGGTGTGCGCACGCTGGTCTGAACACCCCAGCCATAAAAAGGAAAAAAAAAGGGGGCGAATTATTTTATCAAGTGTTAGAAACTAAAATATATTATCTTCTTTCTTATTTATGATGTTGTTATAAAAAATATTATCTCAGACAGAGCTAATTAATTGTAATTAATTGCATCTGACATCTAACACAATAAATTCTTTTTAATTCCATGTTTTTTGAAAACATGCAATTATTATTGACATGGGCAGCGATTAATTGAGCAGGCTTTGATTGAATTAAAATCCTATATATAGGAGGGCAAATTTTCTTCTTGAAGCACAGCCTCTTGTGTAATCTTTTTAATTAAAGCTTTGTTAATTAGTGTGTGAGATCGAAGTGAAATCAACAATGGCAGGTCTTACTGGTAAGGTGGAGAAGGAAGTTGAAATCCATGCTCCTGCTGAGAAGTTCTACAAGCTCTGGAAATCTGAATGCTTTCATCTCCCCACGGCCTCCCCTTCCAACATTCAAGGTGTTGAGGTCCATGAAGGTGACTGGGAGAGTGCCGGCTCCATCAAAATATGGAAGTATACCGTCGGTAAGACCAGTACATAATCTTATATTATACATATAAAGTTATATTTACAGTTTGTTTCTTTTGTGAATGTCTGTATTTTCTTAAAATACCAACCTCATTTACCTAAACTGCGAATATCAGTCTGCATTTTCTTTTAATTCAAACTTCATTTCAGACAGGTTTTTTGTATTGAAAATTGTGAAAATTAGAGTTCAAATCTACTATTGAGAGCTTACATTTGAAAAGAAGTTAAAAGGACATAACCCTTCGAGGTTTGATTAAATAACAAAAATATCCCTACCATTAATTAGATGTCAAGAATTACACTATTATGACTTAATGAATATTTACATAATTATTTTTGGACTGTTTATTATATCGCTTTAAATTTAATGGAAAGGAAAGGGAAGGAGATTTTTGTTATTTTAACTCCATAAAAAATGCTGATGTTTGCCGGCAGAAAAGCTTGTTAAAATGCCAAATTAAGAGCTGCATGCATGATTCTATATATATTAGCATATTATAAACATATATACCCTCATTTACTTATGGTATTTGTGAGATACTGAACTCAAAACCCTACTTTATAATCATAATACTGTATTATTTTTCGTGTATGGAATATTTAACTAACAGAAGGGAGAGCCGAGACTTTCAAGGAGAAAATTGAAGCAGATGATGAGCATATGACAGTAACTCTCCACGGCATTGAGGGAGATATCTTCAAGAACTTCAAGTTCTGGAAACCCGTCTTTAAAGTTGCACCAAAACAGCAAGGCAGTGGCAGCGTTGCGACGGTGAGCATCGAATACGAGAAGCGAAACAAGGACGTTCCTGATCCAGTAGCCTATGTCGATTTCATGGCGAGCATGACCAGAGACGTTGCCTCTCATATTATGAAGGCATAAAATCAAGGGCCAGCAAGCTCTGTTCAATCTCTCTAGCTTACTATACAATAATAAGCTGGAGAATTTGAGTGGGTTTAATTCTATGTGTGGTGTGTGTTGTGATGTGGGATGTGTTGTGTGAGATAAATGGTAATAAATATGAATAAAACTACCAGCTCCTTATGTGGTAGCTGTTTCCTTTCTTCTTAATCATGGCTCTCTCTTTTAATTGTTATTATTCAAGCTTTAAAGAGATGCAAGCCATACAATTAATCAAGTCCTTGAACATTTATAATTTATTTGTAAATTTAAACAGCAAAAGAGATTAATTTAGTATTTAACTCTAAGGTTATAATCCCGGACCGAAACAAAGATTGAAGGCAAAAGTCAAGAGTATATTTCTTCTTTGTGAATTGAGTCTGGTAATATAATATTGTGTATGATAAATAGAAAAATCACTGAATATGAACTTTGGTATGTGATAAAACAAATTTTTCCTTTTATATATATATGTGTGCTGCTCTTGTGCTAGGTAAAACTATTTTTATTTTTCTCTTAGTTTTAAATAAATATTTCAGACTGCAAAATGAGAAATGGCTTTGGAATTGACATAACTACAATGTTAAATGGAATAAGTATATAAACAAAAGTGGAAACAGCAGAAATACTATCTTTTAAATTTGATTTGCAGATATTTTTGTGGGCATGCATGGGCTCTTTCCAAACTTACCTCTTTATGTTCCAATATTTATTTTTCTCTACATTAAATTGTGGTTGGTTTTAATGACTTTCTTCTATGGTTTGCTTGCGGCACAAGGACACTTATGCACACATGTGCTCACTCACAGACACCCAAAACTGTTAGACTAGGAAGCTCAAGACTTCGCGTTTAAATCAATTGCTGATGCGGATGTGCCTGAAAAGATTTGGAGAGATTTTCTAAGGAAACAAACAGAAAATTTCAGAGAAAACGGAGAACAAGAGAATTCTGGAATTTAGATTTTCCTTAAAATGAATTTATTCAATTACAAAATACATCACTTTGCTCTTATATAGACCTTGACAGGCCAGAATTAACAGAATGTGTAAATCATGGTAGAAACGACAACATTAGTAGCATCCAGTTGCACAAGTTGGAGGCTGAGACTCACGCACAGAGAGTGGAATATCTTCAAGTTGTGAATCTGTAAGTTTCAAAGGTAGAAAACCCTTCTTTCAGTTTTAAAGAACTCAAATTAACTTCCATCCAAAAATCCTTCTTTTACAAACTTTCCATTAGAATCTGTTAACTTACTAACGGAACTCCAGGAAAGTTTGACTTGGATGCGTTTGGTTTATTATTTTGGATAGGATTTTAGGGATAATATTGGATAATTGAATATGGGAGTATTACGAGGTAAAATTTAAAAATTTATAAAAAAACCCCCCAAGTTTGTTAATTTAATAAATACCCCAATATATATAAATATGTAAAATGACAAAAAGACCCCCACCACCTGCAGTGCCAGATTCCGGCCACCACCATCGGAATCTGGCCGAAAAATTGCATAAGCACACAGACTGGCCGGATCTGGTCGGTATGGTGTCGCTATGGCCTTTTTCGGCTAAATCCACCACGAATCTGGCCGGAAAAGGCCAGATCTATGACCATATATGGCCGTCGATGGCCAGAAAAGGCCAAACAAGACCATCTTTAGCCGTCAATTAGATATGGCCGTCGTTGTCGGTCAACGACGACCATTTCTTTAATCTGGCCTTTTCCGGCCCACTGTGGATCTGACTGGAAAAGGCCAGATTGGTGAATTACCAGCCAGTTCTGGTATGTAATTCACCGTTATGGCAGATTCTGGCTACTACCAACGATGGTTGCTGGAATCTGGCAAGTATGGGTCATGGGGGTGTTTTTGTTAATTTTTAAACTTTTTTTCAGGGGGTATTTAATGAAATTAATAACCTTATGGAGTCTAAAAGTAATTAAAAAAATAGGGTAATATTTCTGGAATAATGTGTCAAACATTATTTGGAGAATAGGATTGAGAATATGGGCAGAAATAATACGCCAAATGCACTCGACTGTTTTTCATTTTTATTTCCAACATAGCCTATTAGTACATTTTAGGTTCAGTATATTATCTGACTTCTCAGTCTTTGTAATTCATTCTGCCAAATTAATAAAACAGAAATTCTGTTTCGACTTCCGTAGAAATTTGTCTCTTCATCATAATGAAACTTGGAAATTAGTTCTTAAAGCACCTGGCATGAAAATTGTTGGCCGTAAGTGGGTTTTTATGGTGACATATGAAGCACAAAGCCAGATTGATTGTCAAAGGTTTTCTTTAGATAACAAGTATTGCCTTTTTTCAAAACTTAGAATTAGTTGTTAAAGCTATTAGAATGATGATTATTATAAGTCTGTCTGTCAAGTGTGGCTGGGATAATAAACAGGTAGATGTGGATAGTGCCTTTCTTAATGGCACACTCAGGCTATTTTCATGGAATAAGCTGAAGGTTTTGCTGATTTTAGGTTTCTTAACCATGTATGCAAATTTGATAAAGCCTTATATGGCTTGAAGCAGGCGCCTAAAATCTGGTTAAGAAACTACGAGAAGCTTTTATTGAATGGGGATTTTAGAATGTTAAATCATATATATCTCTGTTTATTTTTAAGAAAAAAGCTCATATTGTTATATATCTTGTACATGTGAATGAAATTTTCTTACCAGAATTAATAAGGGTACAATTTTTCAGTAGTTTTTTTTTATCTTATAATCTTTTAAAGCCGGTTAAATCTATGGTTTTCCCTTACAGAGTTTGAGTCTCCTTGTGTCTATATAATCAAATATTATTGTTTTCCTCACAACTTTAGTTTCGAATTAGGATTTTCAAAAAAGGTCGGCAGATCTCTAAATTATGAAAATAAAATAAAATAAAAGCTTATAAGAATGAAATTACTTCCAAACTTTTGACAGAGGTGTCCAGACTAGCTTGTGCTGTTGTGCACACCTCAATTAATCCCTCAGGACCTTGAAGTGGACAACTGAGTAAATCTTCTTAGTGGCTACCCTATTAGCAACTTAGGTAAATCAAACTCAAGACCTCTTGAATAATACATCCAAGAGTCATAATTAATCGCTGAACTATCTAGTGGTGGTTATCCTAACTTAAATTGTTCTTATCTAAACTTTGTTGAGAAATCAATTATTGCATAATTATAATTAAGAAAACTTGTCACTATCTGTGTAGCCCTCTTATGATTAACTGGAGACAAGGTCTGAATCATTGTACATCTACAATGAGGGCCATCATCTTTTATGATTAATTTTATTTACTAATTTCGTTGATTAATTAAATTTTATACTGGACGTGGTTATACAATTAAACCACAACACCGGAGTTGGTGATGACTTCTACCGATTACAACATATTTATTAAAAGGGAAGTTGGAAATTATTGCCAACTGAAAAAATTTAATAAAAGAAAATTGTCATTTCAACTGGTAGTTTTTCTCTTAAATTAATGCAAATCAAAACCTAAAAAAGATTTGGCTAATCTCATGAAAATTGACGTCTTTTTTTGGCCAGTTATTGAGAATTCGAATTTAGAAGTCGGTTATAATTATAAACCAATGGGATTTATTTGGTGTTAACATAATTTGTAAGAGATCGATGACAATAATCATCCGATTGAAGATAAGAAGTCACGTGTTAAAAAAAAAAAATGTTATCTTCTTTCTTTTTTTGTAGTTCTTATAAAAATATATATCAGATAGAGCTAATTAATTGTTATTAATTGCAACTAACATCTAACTACAATAAATTCTTCTTTATAATTTGTTTCATAAAATATTTTCATAAGGGTACCCGTTAACATGACCTGTTCTTTAATTTAATTTTTATAATTATAATAAGATATTTTCTTCGATTGTAGTCTGTCTTCCCTCACTGAAAATTAATGAACGTGAAACATGTGTTAACATATAGATACATTCTCCTGCTGCTAATGATAAGAACATGGAATTACTATTGACAAAGAGGGCGATTTGGCAGGATTTGATTGAATTGAATTTCTATATAAAGGGAGGCCAAATTATCTTCTTGAAGCACAGCCTCTTGTGTAATCTTTTTAATTAAAGCTTTGTTAATTAGTGTTTGAGATCGAAGTGAAATCAACAATGGCGGGTCTTACTGGTAAGGTGGAGAAGGAAGTTGAAATCGATGCTCCTGCTGAGAAGTTCTACAAGCTCTGGAAGTCTGAATGCTTTCATCTCCCCACTGCCTCACCTTCCAACATTCAGGGTGTTGAGGTTCATGAAGGTGACTGGGAGACCGGCGGCTCCATCAAAATATGGAAGTACACCGTGGGTAAGACTATAATCGATCTCATATTATATATACGAAATTATATTTATTAACGTCCGATCTCTTTTGTGAATATCTGTATTTATAAACAGATTTTTTATTTTATCGAAAACTGTTAAAAATTTGTCATTTAAAGTTTAGTACTGCCATCTTTTTATATACACCATAGTCCATAGATCATCTGTTAAAATTGTTTCCTAGCTCCCCTCCGCGACGCGGGACTGTGTCGTAGTTGGTAATCAGAGGGACGCCGTTCTGCGTCATCCTGTTTGAGATGAGATTAAGATGCAACGTCGTAATCTCATTCCAAAATGCTGAGGCAATGTTGGTGTCGGAATAGATAGCGTATTACGTCAGTTGTTGCGCCGGGAAAGGCGACGCTAGTATAAATAAATTTTTAGTGGTGTGAACTTAAGGTCCTAATTTATAATCAAGATATATATTACAATGAGCTTAATAATATATTACTTCTCATGCATATATATACAGAAGGGAGAGCCGAGATTTTCAAGGAGAAATTTGAAGCAGATGATGAGCATATGACAGTAACTCTCCATGGCATTGAAGGAGATATCTACAAGACCTTCAAGTTCTGGAAACCAGTCTTCAAAGTTGCACCAAAACAGCGGGGCAGCGGCAGCGTTGCGACAGTGAGCATCGAATACGAGAAACGGAACAAGGACGTTCCTGATCCAGTTGCCTATCTCGATTTCATGGCCAGCATGAGTAGAGACGTTGCTTCTCACATTATGAAGGCATAAAATCAAGGGTCATCGAATTTGTTCAATCTCTCCAGGCTCCAGCTACTATGCTATACAATAATAATTAAGCTTGAGAGTTTAATTCTGTGGGTTTAATTTTAAGTTTGGTTCTATGTTGTGTAAGAATTAATGTAGTATAAAATTGTGCTTGGAATTACGCATGCTTTTTCTGTATGTAAATTAAGTTGTTCTTCGTGTTGTGTGCTAAAATTAATATGAATAAAACTAGCTGCTCCTTATGTGGTAGCTGTTTGCTTTCTTCTTAATTATATGCTTTCTCAGTCTATAGTTAATTAATTCTTGTTATGCAAGCCTTATAATAAATAAATTCCTTGAACATTTAAAATTTATTTGTAATTTTAAACAACAAAATGGATTAATCTAATATTGACTCTAATGATGATATACTCCCACACCGAAAGCAAGATCGAAGGCACAACTTAATTTGAGAATTTTTCGTCATATAATATTGTATACAGACATTTCCAAAGCTCAATTTTAATGCACATTTTTTTTTTATATATATATAAATGTTTTTATTAAGAGTTTATGGTAGGTATCACAAATTAATATATGTAAATAAAATAAATATTCGGTTCAATAATTATAAATCATATTAATCGTAAATATGGGCAGAGGCAGAACATAGCTTAATCCTCCTAAAATATTTTGGAATTTTAAATATAAATAAAACACTTTCATTCCTAGTAGTTTAATTTGTTATCTTTGGTCTTCCTTATTCGTTAAACTTTATACTTTGACCTTCTTAAATGTAATTTTTTGGATACGTTTTTCATATTTTGACCTCTCCTTTGAACATTATATTTTATCCCTCAAATGCAATTTCCAAGGTTTTGCTAGCTGTTGATGGGAGAATATCATGGACTATCCTCAAGGTTTCCAAAATTATCAATTGGATGACAACTTTCGCATTTTTAAAATGGACCCTCAAAATTTGAAAAATGTATTATGGATACCCCTTTGCTTTAACTCTGTTATATTGTCGTTAGCTTAGTTAATAAATACTGGTAAGCAAAAAAAAGGTATGAGAATTTTACAAGTATGATATGGTAATTGGCACAAAATACGTTTGTGAAAATTTGGTCATAAATTTTGGATGCGAGAAAAATATGATACTAATATATACGTGTTTAATACGATACATTATCAATAATATATTTTAAACAAATACGGTAATTAGGAAAGAACATTTCATTAGCATATTAACAAAAAATCCATGATTTAATTTTTTTAAAAGAATAAAATTATGACAACACCTCTAGTCACGGGGTGGGTGTTACTTTCTCAAATATTTTTTTGAAAAGAAAAAATAATTAGAATGGTAAAAAAATACGTGGACTTAAAATTGTGGTTAAATTATGGTTGAGCGGCTTGAGCCTTTGTATACTTGTTTATTTACTTATTTTCCTGATGGGTAAAAATGAAACGGGGAGTAGAGTAGGGACACGTGAAGGAATGTTCAAATTGACAGTGACCATGCAGGATAATGTGTTGATTTCATCCCATCATCCCGCCAACACGTGAACACCATTGGCATTTTGAATCTGGATATTATTTCCAAGTGTATGAATGAAATTGGTGCATGAAGGAGCATCTTATTAATTAATTTTATGAAACTAAAAGAGGTGAGAGAAAATAACTCTTCTATATACTAAACACATAAAAACCATTGGAGTGATTGATATAACAAATAATTACACTACACAGAATAAGTACAAGCAGCATTTTTTATTTTTTGGCTGATTATACGCGAACATATAATTCGCGGATGAATCAACTGCACTGATAAGATATGGGAATTCATAAATTATATACAAATTATACGATTGGACGGATAATTCAGGTATAAAATGTGAATTTACTAACTAAGACCTTTAGTAATAGATGAGTCAAATGGTAACTACGGTCTTGCAAGAAAATATTGTGGAAAATAGTAACCTTTGTCATATAAGAAAGTGTTTTATAAACCTAACGACAATGTAATTAAGTTAAGACAAAAAGGTATCTTTGATATAAGTTTTTAAACTTTAACGGTTCATTTAATACAAGTATATCAGTGATATATTTTTTTTCAAACTTTGAGAATCCATTTGATAAAATGTTTAAAGGTTATCATGCCAGTGATCTCTTCGAAAACCCTTAGTTAGCATTTTGTTCAGGGAATATTATATTATTGAGAATGTTATATTAATAGGAAGATAAATTACCTTCAAGATTACTAGAAGTGTTATATTAAATGTGTTTGATTAGATTGGTGGGTATAAATAATTAATATATTTGGTTGGAAGGAATAAAATATTATTGAGAGAGACTTTTATTGAATTGTCCTTCCTTTTTAATATTATTATTATTATTTAGAGTATTTTTTACCCCTTATATTTGAGAACTTAGCTAAAACACCCCAGCCACAACAGCAAGTTTAAAATTTAACAAAACACCCCCAACCACAGAAGATGACTCATGGATGTTGCCCACCACTGCCGGTCGTCGTTGGTAGTCATCAGAATGGTGCACGATCGACCAGATCTCGTTGGTTGTGCATCGATCTGACAATTTTCGGTTAGATCCATGATCGAAAATAAACGGTCGATCCATGGATCTTGCTAAAAACGACCATGGATCTAGCTGTTGTTTTCGACCATGGATCTAGTCGAAAACAACTAGATTGGCGCACGGTTGTGTATTATTCCAACGACTGTCTACAATAGTCGGTAGTCGTCTTCGGTGGCCGACTTATTTTGGGTGGTATTCATGTAAATAGTGAGGGGTATTTCTATCCAAAAAAATTAATTTATAAGGTTATAGAAGTCATTTCGTATATTTGGGCTAATTGTTATTTGATAGACATATCAGGACACTAGTGTTCAAAATATTTATTAATTAAGGATAAAATAGGAACAAAATTTGGATTACCCTAGTAATAAAAAAATAACACCCTTTTACTCAGAAATTGAATTACCCCTATATTATTTATAATAATTATTATTGATATTGAAAGATTATCAAATTTTTTTATAACTTGACGACCAATGATAATGGCCGGTTTAAAAGACAGATACCGAAAGTATCTTTTATTATCCTGAAAGAGACCCAGCAAAGATATCTTCCATCTTAGTCTTCGTTAAGAAAATCATCTCTAAATTGCTCTGGTACCTATAAGACAAGACATCAAACCTCCATCACATCAAAGATCTAATTAAATTATTCAATAATATCTTTGGATAATCCTCCACAAATTCTAAACTCATCTGACAAATACCAAATCCGCCACACATTTATAATTAATTATATGCTCTCTCAGTCTATTGTTAATTAATTCTTGTTATTGAAGCTTTAAAGAGATGCAAATCTTATAATAAATAAAGTCCTTTGAACATTTATAATTTATTTGTAATTTTAAACAACAAAATGGATTAATCTAATATTGACTCTAATGATGATATACTCCCACACCGAAAGCAAGATCGAAGGCACAACTTAATTTGAGAATTTTTTATCATATAATATTGTATACAGACATTTCCAAAGCTTAATTCTAATGCACATTTTTTTTTATATAAATATTTTTATCAAGAGTTTATGGTAGGTATCACAAATCAATATATGAAAATAAAATAAATATCCAGTTCAATAATTATTAATCATATTAATTGTAAATATAGGCAGAGGCAGAACATAGCTTAGCCCTCCTAAAATATTTCGGAATTTTAAATATAAATAAAACACCTTCATTCCTTGTAGTTTATTTTGTTATCTTTGGTCTTCCTTATTCATTAAACTTTAGACTTTGACCTTCTTAAATGTAATTTTTTGAATACGTTATTCATATTTTGACTAGGGGTGTAAACGAGCCGAGCCGAGTCGAGCTTTTGGCTTATCGAGCTCGGCTCGTTTACAACAGTGTCGAGCTCGAGCTCGAGCTCGAGCCTAGCGAGCCTCAAAATTGAGACTCGAGCTCGAGCCGGCTCGTGAGCCGGCTCGATATCGAGCTCGCGAGACTTGTCGAGCTTGACCGAGCTCGAGCTCGAGTCTCAATTTTGAGGCTCGCCAGGGTCGATCAAACCACCATTTATCCGGGTTTGATCGAGCCAAGTTCCCCTTTTTTATAACAATCTGCTTGCGTACAGCATTTCATATTTACATCCAATGTTGAATTAATCATGATAGTTTTGAACATTACAAAATGTCTATTACCTTACAAAATCAAAAAATAGTTCTGAATATATACAAATAACATTCCTAGGAGATTATCGATTTTAGAGTGTCTAGTTCGCGATTTGAGATTTAGGGGTCTTTGATTGCGATTTGGGATTTAGGGCAACTGGGATGGGAAACTGAAATTGAGTAATTGACACTCTGTTTTGGTGTATCATGTTATTTCAAATTTGCACTTTAGGGGGGGAAACTGTCATTTTTTAAAACTTTTTTCACTGAAAAATATCAGTTTAATACCTAATAGTTTAAAAAATCACCAAAATACCCTATTAAGTGTACAGTGCTTAATCGAGCCGAGCCGAGCCGAGCCGAGCCAGGCTCACGAGCCCACGAGCCGAGCCAGGCTCGCGAGCCCACGAGCCGAGCCAAGCTCGCGAGCCCACGAGCCGAGCCAAGCTCGCGAGCCCACGAGCCGAGCTTCACTGTGTTCGAACTCGACTCAGTAAACGAACCGAGTTCGAGTCGAGTCGAACCGAGCCTTATCGAGCCGAGCTCTAAACGAGCTTTTATCGAGCCGAGCCGAGCCGGCTCGGCTCGTTTACAGTCCTAATTTTGACCTCTCCTTCCTTGAACATTATATTTTACCCCTCAAATACAATTTCCAAGGTTTTGCTAGTTGCTGATGGGAGAATATCATGGACTATCCTCAAGGTTTCTAGAATTATCAACTGGATGACAACTGTTGCATTTTTAAAATGGACCCTCAAAATTTGAAAAATGTATTATGGATACCCCTTTGCTTTAACTCTGTTATGTTGCTGTTAGTGATAGATGAGTCAAATGGTAACTTTGGTCTTGTAACAAAGTATTGTGGAAAAATAGTAACCTTTGTCATATAAGAAAGTGTTTTGTAAACCTAAAGAATATGTAAATAAGTTAAGACAAAAAGGTATCTGTGATATAAGTTTTTAAACTTTAAGGGTTCATTTATTAAAAGTATATCAGTGATATATTTTTTTCAAACTTTTAGAACCCATTTGATAAAATGTGTAAAGGTTATCATGCCAGTGATCACTTCGAAAACCCTTAAGGT